CTATCTATCTATCTATCTATCTATCTATCTATCTATCTATCTATCTACCTACCTACCTATTGTATCTATCTATCTATCTATCTATCATCCACCCACCCACCCATTCATCATATATCCATCTATCTTCTATTTATCTGTCTTATATATGTATTTTTTTAATCTATCATCTATCTATCCATCTATCTATCATCCACCCACCCACCCATCCATCCATCATATATCCATCTATAATCTATCTATTTATCTGTCTGTCTTATATCTATGTATTTATCTATCTATCTATCTATCTATCTATCTATCTATCTATCTATCTATCTATCACCATCATCTTCCATCCGTCTGTCTATCGATTCCCTCATTTACTCATCCTCTCTCTCTCTCATCCACCCACCCATCCATCTATCATATGTCCATCTATCATCTATCTGTCTGTCTGTCTGTCTGTCTGTCTTATATCTATGCATTTTTATTATTCTATCTTTCTATCCCAACTACGTTTGAATTTCAAGCCTTCCCTGAGCTTAACTTCAAATCCTCGTCCAAAAGTGCCCCAGGTGCCCTTTTGCCTTCAGAGCCGAACTGAATTCCTCCACCATCTCTCCCTTGAGGTGAGGGGAAGCAGCCTTGGTGCTCTGCCTTCCTTACCTTGAAATCATAGGACTCCTCTATGATCACCTCCAGGCGGGAGTTCTCCCCCAGGACGGGTTTGCCCATCTCCGCAATCCGCCAGGCCTCCTCCTCCTCGGCAGAGAGTTTCTTGTCACCGTCGGCTAAGTAAAAAAAAGTGAATCACATCAGCCAACAGCTTGATTGGACTGGATAGGTATTTCCTCGAGTGTGTTCCAATTTTCCCTTCCTCCTTTCCGCTTTGTTCATCACAACAATCCTGCGAGGTATGTTGTGCCTGTGCTGAAGTCAACTGGCTGAACTGCAGTTCGAATCAAGATCTCTCCAGTCCTAGTTTAGTCTGGTTGTTGTTGTTTATTTTTTGGGGTGGTGGTGGTGGTGTTCCTATTTCAGGAGTTCCCAAACTTGGCAGCTTTAAGACTTGTGGAATTCAACTCCCAGAATTCCCCAGCCAGCCTTTAAGATGAGTGGACTTCAATTCCCAGAATTCTCCAGTTATGCTGGCTGGAGAATTCTGGGAGTTGATGTCCACAAGTCTTAAAAGTTGCCAAGTTTGGAGACCTCTGGTCTATTTTCTACTAGATAGAGATACACTGCTCCTGAATAGGGAAGATCCCTTTAACTGTCAGAATAAATCACGTTTCATGTATTCCCTAGCTCTGAGGAATTTCCAGTTGCACTTCCCTCATGTCAGAGCAGAGTCCGTGATCATCCGCGGCTTCGCTCCCAGCTCTCCTCGTTGGAGGGTCCCAATTGGGACCGGAACTACCCTGTGGGGGTAGGGGGAAGAAAGGGGGACCGCCTGACAGGTGGAGGGGAGCCACATCTCTCCTCCCTGGTAAGGAAAACCCCTTCTGAAGATGAGATGCAGCTGTAGCCTAAAATGGCTGCCATGAAGACCGGAGGCAGTCTGGAAAACTAAGACTGCGCTGGAGTGGAGAAGCAGCGAATGGTGTGTGGACGTAGAACTTTAAGGTAACCCCGATAAAACAAGCAGAAAAGAAATCTCATAAAGAATTGTGCTAGCTGCGACTGGAAAGTGAGAGAAAAACTGGGAAACACAAGGGAATTACTTTTGGGGAAAATAAAAAAGATTAAAATGATGTATTCCCTAGCTCTCAGGTTGGCTGGGGGATTCTGGGAGTTGAAGTCCACAAGTCTTAAAGAGGTCAAAGTTGGTGAGCCTTGTTTTAGATGACTCTTCCTGGTCTGGGTGATGAAATTATGTTCTTTATTTTTCTTAGTTTAACTTATTCTTGGGCAGAACGACTGACAGCCAGGCAGGACCTCAAATTGTCCCAAAAATTGTGAAAAGAAAAAAATTATCAGAATGTATTCAGCATTCCATTGTCAAGTTTCTCTCCAGCATCCCAAGAGCTATGATATTTCTCAAATTCAGCAGCTGTTAAGTTGGGCGGATTTCAACTCCCAGAATTCCATGGCTGGCTGGGGAATTCTGGGAGCTGAAGTCCATGCAGCTTAAAGTGACCGAGGTTGTGAAATACTGGACCAGAGAATTGAAAAAGGAATTGAATAACTTTGCTTCTCGGGAGGACAAATACAGTTGCCGATAAAAAAAAGATTCCCACATTTGTGCAAGACACACTGAACATTGGAGTGCATACACGGGAGCAGCAGCATGAAAATTATCTGCAGATGCTCTCAAGAACAAACCCATTTCTTCCAGCTCCCTTGGAGCTCATCTTGGCTCTTTCCATCAAAAATATGTATTCTTCCACCTTCTCATCCAATTAAATTCTTTTCTAATGCTTGATTTGGCACATCATGGATTCTACGTATCTGTGTTTGCCCCAAAATAAGACCCTGTCTTATATATATATTTTTTGCCAACAAAAAAGGCACCAGGTCTTATTTTCGGATGATGTCACCCACTGACTAACCTCACTTGTGTGTGTGTCGCTCCCAGACCTCCTTTTTGCTATCAGAGGCCTTCCAGGAACTTCTTCTGCGGCCAGCAAGGCCTCTGCAGCCAATACCAGAGCTCTGGATCGATCCAGAGCTTTGTTATCCACTACAGAGGCCTTCAGGAAAGCCTTGCCGACTGCAGAAGAAATGGGCCGGCAAGGCAGGTGTCGGGGTGTGCGAGGCCTGGCTACACCTGTCCAAAGGTTAGTAGGGCAGCTCCACCCCTCAAATCCCCAATCTAGCTTAAGTTTTACCCGTGCACCCTGGAGTGGGCAGGATCTTAATTAGGGCTTATTTTGGGGGTAGAGCTTATATTGGAAGCATACGTAAAGATCAAGCTAGGGCTTCCTTTCGGGGTAGGTCGTATTTTCAGGGAAACAGGATAGAAGTGTCACCTGTCCCAAATTGCTGGGATGTTATTCATGGCCAGCCATTCCCAAGTCAGGTTATGCTACCACTTCAAAAAAAACCCAAAGGAACCCCAATGTGCTTTGAATTTTTCAGCAGAAGCCAGGAACAGGAACAATCGAGAGCAGGGTGGGGCCGGAAATGTCCCTTTTGCTCTGAGCAGCTGGGGACGTTTCACAGGTCCTGGGAAGATGGAGGCCTGCTACGTATGTCAGCTTGCACAGCCGGTGGAGATTTAACAGAACAGATTTAACAGAGTTGGGAGGGACCCTGGAGGTCTTCTAGTCTGACCCCCAGCTCAGGCAGGAAACCCTATCCTGTTTCAGACAAATAGTTATCCAATCTTTTCTTAAATTTCAGCGTTGGAACATTCACAACTTTGGGAGGCCACTGACTCATTCTTCTCCCTGTCAGGAAATTCCTCCTTAGTTCTAAGTTGCTTCTCTCCTTGATTAGTTTCCACCTGTTGCTTCTTGTCCTGCCTTCAGGTGCTTTGGAGAACAGCTTGGCTCCCTCTTCTTTGGGGCAGCCCCTGAGATATTGGAAGTGTCATGCCCTTGGTAGAGTCGGACTCTGAGGGAGAGGAGGAACGGCTGACAGAGAGTGGAGGTGTGGCTCCGGAGGTTGTGGAGGAGGCTGGGGAAGGGCAGAGGCCGGCTGGGCAGTCAGAGGAAGAACCAGGCCCATCCCCTCTTCATCCTAGGACACACAGGGAGGAACGGAGAGGGAAACAACTTGGCTTGCGAGAGAGGAAGCGGCCATGATCCCCCTCATTGGTTGCAGCCGGAGAGACGAGTATATAAGAGAGACGATTACAACACAGAGTTGCCAGAAGCAAAGTGTGTTTTATCTTGGGCTGAAGTTTATCTTGTCTGGCGTCCTTCCAACAGACTGTGACCTTGTTATCTCCTTAAAGTTATTAAATACTTCTCCTGTTCCATTGTGGAAATTTCATCTTTGTAGTTTGTTTGGTTTTTTTAATTTATTTCACCTCTATCTACTCAATAAGTTCGGACTGTATTGCTTTCTTTTGAAGACTATTTCTGAGTATGTTTTATCTCCAACTGAGAATTATTGAACAGTGGGGCCGAGTTGGAGGCATTAAAGGACGTTTATTTACATTTTGGATTTTGTTACATTTGTGCTACATTCCTGGTCATCACAGGAAGGCTCCTATCCTGCCACCCCTAGTCCCATTTTTTTCTATGCGCTCTTCCCCTTTGGCAGATGCTAATCCATCCCTAGCCTGTCTCTCTGCCAGTAAAGCAGAATATTTGTAGCTCAGGGTTATCCTTGCTGCCCTCCGAGCTTGGTGGCTCCCTCGTAGATGTTTCCTTACCCACGTTACCCGAGCAAAGCCCACCAAGCAAGTTTCTGAACAGGTCACACGAGGCGGCGGGATTCCTGATTTCACCAGGTTTTATTTTTGCCCACTGGGCAGCCCTGGCATTCCGTCTCTGGGTCCCTCTCGGCCGTACCCCTCCCGTAAACCCCCTTTGCTCTCTTGGCAGGTGCTGGAGGATTGGAGGGTGGGGGTCTTCTTGCAAGCAACAAGGGGCTTCTGATAGCAGGCCAGGCTCGCTGCCTCAAAAAATTGCTGCGCATTCCCGTTCCTTGCACAGTGCATAGTTTCTCACCCACACATTCCCTCTCCCCCAGAACGGAGCTAACGTATAAAATGCTCAAGCGCAGCGCACACACTTTCTCCTACGCACTGCCTCCCGTGGCACCCCTTCCTCCCCATCGCACCAAGCCCTCTTCCTCCTCCTCCTCCTCCTCCTCCTCCTCCTCCTCCTCCTCTTCTCGGGCACAGATGTTGAGAAGAAGGCAGCTGTCGTGGATGTGGGATCTGTGCACTGCCTGATGATGTTTTCCTTCCAGGCCTGTTTGGGTTGCCGGGTAGGCTGGGGTCCAACTTCCACCCGTTGCCAGCCAGCCAGCCAGCCAGCAAGGCAGGGCGAAAGTGACAGGTGTTTATTCTGGCTGACAGGTGCCATTTCCAGGAGGC